GACCTGACAAATCTATTGCTGTTAAAATGGTTCGAGATAAAAGAAATCGAAAACCATTAATTAATCAAAGCTAGCTTTGGGCAAATTTGGCATGTACAATGTTCAAACTGAAAACAATGTAGAAAAATATGGATGACATGAAATCATTCTCGCATTTTTGTAGACTTAAATAAGAATGTATAAAGTTTCCAATTTCATGTTTTCGTGAGTCCTCTGAATGTGTTTTTCTTTATCAAGAAAATGAATATCAAACTGGTACCACGTAAATAAATATAGAATTTTTAAATACATTCAGCAGAAAGTAAATATATATATCAAATATTAGTGGGTTATGTGCGTTTGAGTTAAATAATGAAGCAAAGAAGTATCAATTGATATTTGTCCAATAAGTTCGTGATTATCAATTCATGACAAAATTATGTGATGACACATTGCACATATCTATTTACACTACAACACTATTGAGTATTACCTTGTGTTCATAAAGTCTTCTTAAACGTAAGATAACGTTCTATCGTGTTTATCTCCCTTCCCACTCAGCATGGCTAACGAGGCATAGAGCATGATGTCAATTGATTCATGCTGTAGAGAATTATATGTCGTTCATGTGCATGCACAGCATCAGTTCAATAATGTTCAGTATTACCAGCTATCATTGAAAAATCTTTATTTAATAATTTCTACATCTATCGTCGAGTTGAAGACAAAAAAAGGGGGAAACGCATGTAAGCACCAGATACAGAAAGCATGTTTTTATTGGTCAAAAAACACTTTTGGGGATATTTTAAACTTCATATTAGGGACGAGCACATAGGTCTTGTAACACCTATATTTAGAGCCAATGAACATCTTTACAGGGATTACAAGCGTTTACAGACAATTTTGAAAGGAAAATACTTGAAGGACAATTGTGTTTGATATAAAGGAACTTTCTGACCTCCTTTTAAGGATTACATGCGTTTTGATACACGAACTACTAGGGCTTTTGACACTTTTTGTACGAATTACAAAAGTTAAAAGTTACATGTATCATGTAAACAAGGAAACACCATACTCTTGTAATATCGTATTGACTGAATGGACAGATTGTCAGGTTTTTTCGCTAACCTCACAGAAGACACACTGTTCTTAATCGGATGACATATAGGAACTTATGCGGCTTTTACCTGAATGTGAACGATTACGGGGGTAATACAATTAATTCCTAACACATCCATCACACGATCTGTATATATACTAAACAAACATGAAGAATTACCCTCAACCTGGATTCGACTGAAAATCATTATTTAACACCAAAATATCATCAACAAACTGGAAAATAATTGCGACAGACATGACAAACAAATCATGTATCTTATAAAAAAAACTTAACGTTGTTTACCAAACAAAAACATTGATATTCCACATTAAGTATAAAATATTAGTCACAAGTGCGACATCTTTCAGGAAATTCTACATTCTTACACAGTGTAAGGGACGTTATACATTTCAATATTCGTTGATCACCTACACGGTTGTGAAACAAGGTAGGAGGTATTTCACCTTTGACCTTGATATTTATGTTGATAATAGTTATGATTTTGTGTGAACTAATATTTGACGTCAGAACAACCGTCGTAGAAGAATTTGATCTTTATCACCAAAACGTTTATCAAAATATTAGCTTTAGCAAGTAGCACTACAAGAGAAGTTGTGAGAAAGTAAGAAATCAGCCTATTGATGCTACATTATATTGTACAGTGCAAGTGCCATTCCGTCTGTACACTGGCTGTTTTTAATGTTCTTTGTACTATAACCTTACTTTGGTTTAAATTCCCGTTCTGCTAAAACGATACTGTGTTGATATGCCTTTGTGCTAGAATGATATCGTGTTGAAACTACTGTGTAGTTGATATTTACACTGTCTTGATGGGTCTTTGCACTAGAACAACAATGTGTTGGAATTGACTTTGTGCTAGAATGATACTGTGTTGGAATTGCCTTTGTGCTAAAATGATACTTTGTTTGAATTGCCTTTGTGCTAGAATGCTGCTGTGTAAGAATTGCCTTTGTGCTAGAATGATACTGTGTTGGAAATGCCTTTGTGCTAGAATGATACTGTGTATGAATTGTCTTTGTGCTAGAATGATACTGTGTTGGAAATGCCTTTGTGCTAGAATGATACTGTGTTGGAAATGCCTTTGGGCTAGAATGATACTGAGTTGAAATTGTCATTGTGCTAGAATGATACTGTGTATGAATTGTCTTTGTGCTAGAATGATACTGTGTATGAATTGCCTTTGTGCTAGAATGATACTGTGTTGGAATTGCCTTTGTGCCATCGTTGTAAACTGTTCCTGTTAACCACTTAGATACTGGAGTGGATATGTACATGGGCTCTTATCTATGTACGATACATGTTACATATTCTCTTATTTCAACAGTTATAGTCAGAAGTCAGATCCATTTTCAGATTAGTGAAAAGTAAAGTTTATATCACATAAGACAACAAATACAGCAAGGTGAAAATACGAATGTAATACGAATTAATTTTGATACTACTACGGTTATGTAAAAACTGTCGGTACCATAATGTGATTTTATTCAAATATTCACTTACAAAGAAGGATTGTGAAATTAAATTGTTATTCTATTTTGTTAAGGTATTACTACAAAGTTGATACATCGAAAAGTATAAACCCATAAACATCTATGTAATGTACTTATGATCCGATAAATTATCAACAGCGGTATCTCAACCAAAGTATATTCAATATGTCAGCTATAGTACATTGACTTGGGAAGTTATTAAATAAAGTATAGATAAATCACTACATCAATTGTGTATTCACGATCTGTCCAGGGAATCGATGTCAGGACAATGGATCCTAAGCATTGTTTCATGTTTACTATTATATTGTTAAATATAATCTGTTATTACGGTGTTAATCAACATGGAGCACTTATTAATGATGTACTGTAATAGGATGTGTATCAGTAGTGCCTACCCATTGATACTACATACATATGTATATTTTTCATTACTTCTTCATACATAATACTACATAGATATGTAATAGTATTCAAAAATTATAATAATACATATATATGTATGTTCATCATACTGCATACATATGTATAGTATTCAATTATAAAATTCAATAACAATTCATAGATATGTAATAGTATTCAAAAATTATAATAATACATATCTATGTATGTTAATTATACTACATACATATGTATAGTATCCATGACTACATATATATGTATGGTATTTAAACAAAACTAAATACATATGTATGGTGTCAATATGTTTTACATAAATAGGTATAGCACTTATCAATACTATAAATATTAATGTACATATCTATATTGTGTGTATCTATCGTAACAATACATAATACATTCATATGTGTAGTATCAATTAATATTACGTACACTTACAGTATTCATCAATATGTGGTGTCTATTAATATTACATATGTATTAATAGTAGAAATATTTCGTATATATCAATGACGTCCATGAATTTATATGGCATATTGAATTTAATTTAATAGTATATTGACACACTCTTGATTCATTGAAGATTTCTTACAAAAACAGAGATGCCCTATTTACAATATGGTAGCCGTTTCCCAAAATATTTTCCAGATAGAAACAATGTATCACTGCATTTTACTCAATAAATGATAGTTATCTCCCCTGTAATAGGGGTTTCTTGTACGTTATCTGAATACTTGATTACCTTAATTATTACAGGGAAAAGTATATTTCTTTTACCAAAATGCTTATTTAAACAAATCTTGTTACATTTGGTGCTTGATGCAAGTGGAGATTCAAGTAATACTTTTACCAGAGGAAATTTAACAAAACAGGTTCTTTACAACTTGAGGCCGGAAGTGTATGGACAGCACAGGGGTAAACACAAGGTTAATGGTTATTGCTTTTAACACACAATACTTCTAGCATCAACAATAGATGTACGGCATGAAGTCGGCACCTATTCAAAATCCTAACTATCATATCCTACTTACAGGTCAGATATAGATGTTCTTCTGAAGCCAAAAGTATGGAGCATGGTTGATCATAAATAGTTACCAAAATAAACGACACAAAATGTAAAACAAAATTTACAACGAATCATGTAGGAAACATTAACAGGCGTCTTGGTTTTGTCATGTAGACATGTATGTCACAGAACAAGGAAGTAGAAATGTGGAAATGTAGCTGTTCTCTGTCCGGCGAATGAATACAACACACGGTGATAGCTTTTAAAGAAAATAACAAACATTCAATTTGCTGAAGAAAATTTCTATCCAAAATTCAACACAAATAATTTACATTATGAAAAATGCCATTTAGATATTTCGCAACCGACACGGCATATTCTTTAACTAGAAACAATATAGCGCGAAACGGTGCTGAGCTTAGCTTGAGTCAGTGTCCAAAAATGTTATTTCAACTGAATTCCCATGGTCTATTCGGTTCTTGGGCTGCATTATATTGGTCCCCGACAACTGACGTTTATAAGCATGATTCCATTGGCGATGCAGAATACAAAAAATATGATGGTCTATTGAAGTGAATATCTGCATAATGATTATCTAAACTGAAGGTTCTCTGCAGATATCACACTTGAGCTAATAAAATCACTTTCAAAGACTTATTTAGATTTAAAACATACAATAACATTTAGTCTCACACACTCATTTAGATAAAAACTATGTTCTTAAAGATCTTCCCGTGGTCTGCCTTTCTCATTTCCGGTTGAGGAAGCATTGCTGCGTATGTCTACACTTAATCCTGGCGCTGACATGCGATAGTGGCCGAATTTCTTGGTAACAACACAAACAAGGCCAACTTTGACTGAGTAATGATGGTATGGAAGAAACACCTAATCAGCGACGGCGATTCCGGAGCCATTCTTAAGGATGAAATCCGAGGCAGTCGTTCATCACGCTACTAATATTGAATGCCGTAATACAGCTGTAGGTTACGTAATCAACCTCTAATATCACACGTGCGTCATCATCTGTCTCTGGAACAAACACCCCGCCATTAATATAAGGCCAGGGCTTATTAAATAAACCAATATATTATTCCTACATATTGAACAATTAGAAAAAAGCTTAGGTTCAAGATGTTTGTTGTAAAAGTCGTTTATATAGTTGAGAGTTTAGAAATCGGGGATAGGAGTCTCGATGCATTAGTGTATAGATTTGTAACTGGGCCTCGTCAAAGGTGTGAGGGGTCGGGTCCACCATATTCCGGTTTATGACTTCCCGAACTCTGGAATCTAAGCTCACCTGCAATGACAACAAAGCATGACTTATAAGCATGGTACCGATGATAAACTGATATGACTCACTATATACCTCACCATTTTTCATTTCTTGTTAGGAACAACAGAATACTTTAATGGTTGATGCTGCTAAACATAACATATGGATCCTTGAGTGAACTACCCTTATTGGTTCCATCATCCTGTTTAAAATGTTCACCTCTTCGATCTCAATTATAATCGCATACACAGCTGCTGGTTAGACGAATTAGGAGTTTGTTACAGGAGAATCAAACAATAAATCAAACTGCATGATTTAGCGGTTTCGTCCTACTATGACTTGTCAGTGATGCTAAGGGCTTAAAGATTAGACCTAAATAATTACATATCGAACATTGGAACAGTACAGATAAACTACACATTTTTTTCGAAGCGATTGCAGAGCGAAATACGGCAAATGAGTGAATTCGATAGGGGTAGGGCCATTTCTCTTATAATACAGACGCATTTGCAATGTCTTGTGGCCCAGCAATATGGTGTACATGAGACAACAATATTCCGTTTAGTTTGGCGTATTAGAGTCACAGGGAGTTTCGATGACAGTACCAGGACCGGACGCCTGCGCGTAAGGTCTCGACGTGTCCAAGAGCGGTTAGGAATCGCATGTGAGAGATTCATTAAAGGCCACGAAGTCCCTATGTTGGTCCGCCACTTACGCAGAGGCGACGCCAACGTCGAATGCCGTGCTGCTTACACATGCACCAGATCGGTTGCGTTTTGCTCATTGGAGTTCTGTGTTGTTCACTGACTAGTCTCGCTTCACTGGTCAGATGGACGACAATGTATCTATCGACGTCGTGGTGATCGAGATTCTGACGCTTGCGTAACGGAGAGCGACAGATTCGCGGGAATGTCTGTTATGGTATAGGCACCTTTCGTGGATAACAATGGCAATTTTACAGCAGTAACATATCGGGATCTGGTCTTGAAACCACGCGTCCTTCTTCTCATCCATCAAGATAACCTTATGTTGCAGCAGGACAACGCGATGCCCCACATTGCTAGGGTTTGTCCTGGCTTTCTGGCTACGATACAGACTAGATTTGTTCCCAATCGAGCATTGGTGGGACGAGCTGGACAGGAGGGTTAGGAAGCGAATCAACGTTTCATAGAACTTCAATTAACACACACAGGCCCTTATTCAGGAATGGAATAATATTCCTCAAAGGATAATAAACACCTTGATGGGGTCAATGTTAAGAAGAGAAAGACTGAAGCCAGGGGTGGGCACATGCGCTACTGATTTGGTTCAGGAAACGACTTGGAGTACACGTTTTAATGCTATTCACGCAAACGCTGTCTGTGATAGGACAACAAAAATTATCAAAATGTATTCATTAATGAGGAAATAATCGAGAAACCCAAACAAGCTACTGACGATCAATGAATCATGTAAAATAATACCTATCGAAAATAAACCTGTGTTTATTTTTTCTGCTAGTATACATAGAATAGAGAATGTATATATTATATGCTTTGTAAGTGTAACGCTGTCATCTTCAAAGAAATAACATTTATTAGTATAACGTTTAAAAATATATTTTAATGAACAAATAATTATTGTTGTTATGCTTACCTCCTTAGGAGAGAGAATTGATATATAATCTTCATTAATTAATCTTGCTTTCTCTTCCACCACCTCCGGGTTATCCTCTTTCTTTAATTCCTCACAAGCTAACCAGAATAACATATTTTCCTCGCTGTATTCTGATCGTAAAAATTCCCTAAAAAAAGTTCGTCCACCTGTAATGGAAATATTAACGTTTAAATTACGAATGTAACAGTGAATTACAAAGCTTGCGCAGCCATGATTTGTTTGATTTATTTCATGTCATTTTGACCTGATTGATAAAATCGGTAGATCTCTGAGAATAATCATGATATTAACCGAGTGAGCGCGGTTGAGTACACTTTATAGATGAACAAAAGAGACACAATTATCAGAATAAACTAAAAACTGTAAATTGCTTTATATCATAATTAGATGAAAGGCATAGATCTTATGCCGAGTTTTTTTTGGAATTTGTCACTGAAGCTTTCCGGACTGAACGTTCTTGTACACATATTTCACCTTTGAGGATACCTTTAGGATGTCGCCGCCGGTTAAATAAAAGATATTTAAACTTATGAAACACCTAGTTAAATGGTTGTGCTTTTTCAGGTCTCTCCGAGCTTAACGTTGAGCATGGAGAAGACACGTATATCGTAGTCAAATCAGCATTAATTCTAAGATTGATTGCTTCATGTCACTGTTAACCCCGAGATGAATTCAACTATCTCATTAGTCACTTTTAATCTAGGATTCACTGGTTCATGTCACTTTTAACACTGGAATAAATTCAACAATATCAATTTTAACCCAAGGATTGGATAGACTTGACTCAAAAATTGATGAATTCACAAAGGATAGAATTTTCAATCTCACATTTCAACTTCACTTCGAATTCCTATAGTATATTTCGATGCTAATCAAAATTTAGATTTGATCAATGGAAAAGATGTTATTTCACAATAACCAAATAAAAAAGACTGCGACAGCCGTAGATTTGCTTACATCAAAACGATTTTAAAACTTCAGGTTTTTCTATAAACTGCATTTCAATAATATATAATATAATATACTTATTTATCATATAAACTATTAATATATTGCAAACAAGGATAAAATCCGGAAAAAAGAAAGAAAATACAAAGCGGTCATGGAAAAAAGTAGAAAAAGATGATGTATTTCAGAAAGGTAAGTTTTTTTTTTTGCCTCATCGAAGACACTAGCAATGCATCTGTTGGCCACTCTCAGTAAATAACGTTAAGATCTATAGTTAACAATTCCTTTTATGTATTACAGGATAAATAAATCAAATCCACATATTAATAAAATCATAATTTTACATGCGTAGCCATTAGGTCCATAAAACTATACTTTCCGTTCTGTACGTATGCTATCGATACCACAAACTTTTAAGTTATGTCATTTTAGCAAAACAAAGCATGACTGAACATGTTAAATATCTTTCCCAGCAGGCGAAACATTTCTTTCTATTTTGTTTATTTTACAAATCTATACTGTTAATTTACTTATACACCACATACTGCCACAAAAGCCTTTACACAAACTTTGAGATCTTTGTAAAACAGTTGATTAAAATCATTTAGCAAGCATGTTGTAATAGTATATATCCCCTACCGGAATACCTGGTCTTATTCGCCTCTTGCTTTTCAGAGAACCGTGTAAATATTTCTTTTGTTCATAGTTTGACCTAGATTCAAAGATTTGTTATAAGTTTGAGTCTTATGCTTTTCAGAGAACCGTGTAAATATTTCTTTTTTTCATAGTTTGACCTAGATTCAAAGATTTGTTATAAGTTTGAGTCTTATGCTTTTCAGAGAACCGTGTAAATATTTCTTTTTTTCATAGTTTGACCTAGATTCAAAGATTTGTTATAAGTTTGAGTCTTATGCTTTTCAGAGAACCGTGTAAATATTTCTTTTTTTCATAGTTTGACCTAGAATCAAAGATTTGTTATAAGTTTGAGTCTTATGCTTTTCAGAGAACCGTGTAAATATTTCTTTTGCTCATATATATTGAACTTCAATTTTCAAAGATTTGTTTTAAGTTTCAGTCTGTTGGTATTTTCGTTGTGATTTCAAATAGCATGAATGTATTTTAAAGAATACTTACTGTTACTCCGCATTAAACGGTCAAATGATTCTGACCAAGCTGCTATTTCTTCTACTGATGGCCTATAACAGCACAAAAGAATATATCATTAAAATTAAAAGTATATTACCATAGATTAATGATAACTATTTTTGTGAAATATCTGAAAGCGTGTAGATACACTTTGATGGAACTGTTGGTAATACATCATTATATCACATGTGCGGTGACTGGCTTCGTAGGACTGGAGTGGAGCATTCAAGACCTCTCAGTGTAGCCGTATTACAAGGTCCAACAGTGAATAGCTATCATTTTCTATACTGACATCCCCCATTTCGGAAAAACCAGGTCTCCTGATGGAAACATTCGTTTTATAATATCATTTAAGGTAATATGCATAAACCTACGACTTCACTCTTTGGCATTTGAAGTTTTGAACAAAAAATTCGAGAGGGATCCTAGAGTCAACTTGCATACATGACTAGAGACCGTTCTCAAAATGACCATAAAACCAAATTGCAAACACAAAATGTATCCATACTCATAAAGATCTCTGTATAGTTGTTAAGCACAAACTATAATGCTTACGTAACGAACGGACCACGTGATCTAAAAACCAATCAACTGATAGTTGACTTAAGCAGGTCAGGTCAAACATTTTAACGCAGAGGACATGAAAAGAGCGAAAAATCATAATATGTATTCCTCCCGAAACAAAGGATCTGAAGATCTGTAAACCTCTCGATAAAAAGAGAACGCAAACAAGTGATTTGTAGACCTCTCGAAACAAAGGACATGAAGATAGCGCAAAAACGTAAGATGTAGACCTTTCGAAACAAAGGGGGCACAAAAATAGTGTTATTTTCTCGAAGCAAAGACCTGAAGCGAAAAATAAGATAAATTTACGTTATTTTTAAGCAAGACTACAAGACCTGAAAACACGGCAAAAATTTACTATAGACTTCAAGGAACGTAAGAAATATACTAAAACATTCCCAGGACCCCTCTTTTGGAATTGGTTTTGTTAGTAACATCTGTTCAGCTTTGGAGATATAACGAAAGTGGAAATTTTCTGCATCCTGTTGTCAAAAATGTCCCTAAGTGACAATTCTGGCTTCTCCGAATAACTAAGCACAGAAAAATAAAGTACGGCAAAGGATAGTATCTTACTTAAAATGTAACTTCGACATCAACTTGAATTGTGTTAAGAAAGAAAAGCACTGGCTTTTTAATTGTTCACAGTAGTAACCTACACATCTGCCTAGCTAAAGTGTACACCTAACAACTTTCCCCTCTAATATGATTAAATGCTTATTAATACTGTTTTAGATCGTTGGTTTTGATGGGACATAATATTCCTGGAGACTTATCCATTATGCATGAAAGCTTGGCAACGTTGATATCCTAGTGTGAACATCGTCATGCTATATCACAATTATTCTCTTATTATTAATCACTAACTGGCAATAATAAACCCTCTAAACCCTACTTCCCAATCTACGCTAGACCCAACCTCGAAATAGCTAGGGTAAAGTTATCCAAACTCTACCTCATAATCGTTAAATGAAAAGCTATAGACCAAACCTCACAATCGATGTAGTTATACTCTCTTAACCCTACCTCACAACGACTTTAGCAATGCTCTCTCAACGCTTCATTTACCTTTCTAATCCTAACTCACAATCAATGCATTTGACCTCTCTTAACTCTGCTTTCAAGCTGATATTAGCAAATACATCTCAAACATATCGCTGGATTTTAACTCGTTTAAGCCTAACTCATAGTTAATTCAGATGTTCTCTATTATATATCAACCGCTATAACAATACTCTCAACCCTACCTCATAATCGTTAGAGTTATCTTTCTCAACCCTACCTCATAATCGTTAGAGTTATCTTTCTCAACCCTACCTTACAATTGCGAGAGTTAAACTTTCTCAACCCTACCTCATAATCGTTAGAGTTATCTTTCTCAACCCTACCTTACAATTGCGAGAGTTAAACTTTCTCAACCCTACCTCATTATCGCTAGAATTAAACTCTCTCAACCCTACCTCACAATCATTACAGTTAAACTCTCTCAACCCTACCTCACAATCATTACAGTTAAACTCTCTCAACCCTACCTTACAATCATTAGAGTTAAATTATCTCAACCCCACCTCACAATCATTAGAGTTAAACACTCTCAAACCTACCCCACAATCGTTAGAATTAAACCCTTTAAACCCTACCTCATAATCTTTAGAGTTAAACTCTCTCAACCCCTCCTCACAATCTTTAGAGTTAAACTCTCTCAACCCTACCTCATAATCGTTAGAGTTAAACTCTCTCAACCCTACCTCACAATCATTACAGTTAAACTCTCTCAACCCCACCTCACAATCTTTAGAGTTAAACTCTCTCAAACCTACCTCACAATTGTTAGAGTTAAACTCTCTCAGCCCTACCTTACAATCGCTAGAGTTGAACTCTCTCAACCCTACCTCACAATCGCTAGAGCAAAACTCTGTCAACCCTACCTCATAATCGTTAAAGTTAAACTCTCTCAATCCTTTCTCACAATCGCCACAATGAAACTAGTAGAACCCTCTTAACCCTACCTGGTAATCAATCCAGTCATATTCTAACCCTTGTGTCACACTCACAAACCTTACCCCACAACCTTTATTGTAGTAATAAACCTTTCCTCACATTCTTTACACTGTAACTATCTTAATCTTAACTTACCAAAGCAAATATGAACCTCTCTTAATCTTTACCCAATTTCGCTACTGTCAAATAGTATACTGACCGTTTAGCTGATTTTATAAAACACTTCCGTAACACCAAACAGTCTCGATCACAGAGAGGGAGGGTAATGGACACTTTTCATCAAATAGCTATATCAAAATATTTTAAAGCAATCTCAATCGCTACAGTAAAGAAGTAAAACCGGTCATTCAATCGCTACTGTCAAACAGTGTAATCCAATTACTTGATTGCTACTGTAAAACAGTTGAAACCGAAAGCTCAATCGCTACAGTCATACAATGGAAACCACCGCTAGATCATTACAGAAAAAAAGTGGAAACCTACAGATCAATTAAAGAAAAGCAGTTAAAATGAAATGTTAAAATGAAAATAGGTTAAAACCGACCTGTTGCTTGCTACTGTAATACTATTGAAAACTGCCGCTCAATTGCTACTGTATATAAAGTTGAAACCGACCTCTCGTTTGCTACTGTAAAACTATTGAAAACTGCCGCTCGATTGCTACTGTATATAAAGTTGAAACCGACCTCTCGCTTGCTACTAACACAAGTTGAAAATCTATCGCTCGATCGCTGCTGTAAAACTCTTGAAAACTTCCGTTCAATCGCAACTGTTAAAGAGCAGAAATCTTCGGTTCAATCAGTACATTAAAAAATCCTAAAACCTGCTTATCAATCGCTACAATTAAAAAGTTGTATATTTTACAAAATACACGAGTGAAAAGCACCTTTTAATGCAAATTTTGAATTTCAGTACGCCTAAACAATCAATTAAATTACAGCATACATTTGATGTGTCTTTCTAGGACTGGGGAAATATATAAAGTGACAGAAATGTCAAAATGTAGATGTGAAGGTGCACTACCCTCATAATTCAATGGAATTCGTAATCTTGATATTAATCCTAATCTCTTCTATACAACCTGAAGATCACTACCATAAACATATATAAAACTTACTTCGAAATTGCTAGTGTAGAATGCTTAAAACCTATCGCTTAGTCGTTACTGTGAAAATATTTTAAAATATACCATAAATCACTATCGTATTACATTTCAAGTCTATCGCTCAGTCGTTACTGTAAAAAGATTAAAATTTACCCCCTAACCTCTACTGTATTGTGATTAAAGCCTATCGCTCAGCCGTTACTGTATAAACATTAAAATCTACCCATAAACCTCTACTGTATTGTGATTAAAGCCTATCTCTCCGTCGTTACTGTATAAACATTAAAATCTACCCCCTAACCTCTACTGTATTGTGATTAAAGCCTATCTCTCCGTCGTTACTGTATAAACATTAAAATCTACCCCTAAACCTCTACTGTATTGTGATTAAAGCCTATCTCTCCGTCGTTACTGTATAAACATTAAAATCTATCCCTAAACCTCTACTGTATTGTGATTAAAGCCTATCTCTCCGTCGTTACTGTATAAACATTAAAATCTACCCCCTAACCTCTACTGTATTGTGATTAAAGCCTATCTCTCCGTCGTTACTGTATAAACATTAAAATCTATCCCTAAACCTCTACTGTATTGTGATTAAAGCCTATCTCTCCGTCGTTACTGTATAAACATTAAAATCTATCCCTAAACCTCTACTGTATCATAATTCAAACCTATCGCTCAGTCGTTACTGTAAAAAGATTAAAATCTATCCCTAAACCTTTACTGTATTGTGATTAAAGCCTATCGCTCAGCCGTTACTGTATAAACATTAAAATCTACCCCCTAACCTCTACTGTATTGTGATTAAAGCCTATCTCTCCGTCGTTACTGTATAAACATTAAAATCTATCCCTAAACCTCTACTGTATTGTGATTAAAGCCTATCTCTCCTGTATAAACATTAAAATCTACCCCCTAAACCTCTACTGTATTGTGATTAAAGCCTATCTCTCCGTCGTTACTGTATAAAGATTAAAATTTACCTCCCATAATTAAACCTCTACTGTATTGTGATTAAAGCCTATCGTTACTGTATAAAGATTAAAATCTCCGTAACCTCTACTGTAATTCAAAGATCTAAACTGTATGAACATTGAAATTTATCCCTAAACCTCTACTGTATTGTGATTAAAGCCTATCGCTCGTTACTGTATAAAGTTACTGTAATAAACATTCAAAAATCTAAACTGTATGAACATTGAAATTTATCCCTAAACCTCTACTGTATTATAATTAAATTGTGATAAAGATTAAAGCTACTATATCATAATTCAAACCTATCGCTCAGTCTAAACTGTATGAACATTGAAATTTATCCCTAAACCTCTACTGTATTATAATTAAAGCCTATCGCTCCGCCGTTACTGTATAAAGATTAAAATCTATTCCGTAACCTCTACTATATCATAACTCAAACCTATCGCTCAGTCTAAACTGTATGAACATTGAAATTTATCCCTAAACCTCTACTGTATTATAATTAAAGCCTATCGCTCCGCCGTTACTGTATAAAGATTAAAATCTCCGTAACCTCTACTATATCATAATTCAAACCTATCGCTCAGTCTAAACTGTATGAACATTGAAATTTATCCCTAAACCTCTACTGTATTATAATTAAAGCCTATCGCTCCGCCGTTACTGTATAAAGATTAAAATCTATTCCGTAACCTCTACTATATCATAATTCAAACCTATCGCTCAGTCTAAACTGTATGAACATTGAAATTTATCCCTAAACCTCTACTGTATTATAATTAAAGCCTATCGCTCCGCCGTTACTGTATAAAGATTAAAATCTATTCCGTAACCTCTACTATATCATAATTCAAACCTATCGCTCAGTCTAAACTGTATGAACATTGAAATTTATCCCTAAACCTCTACTGTATTATAATTAAAGCCTATCGCTCCGCCGTTATTGTATAAAGATTAAAAAGATATTAAAATCTATCTAAACTGTATGAACATTGAAAACCTAAACCTCTACTGTATTATAATTAAAGCCTATCGCGTTACTGAATAAAGATTAAAACTGTATACTAACATTCAAAAATAAACTGTATGAACATTGAAATTTATCCCTAAACCTCTACTGTATTATAATTAAAGCCTATCGCTCCGCCGTTACTGTATAAAGATTAAAATCTATTCCGTAACCTCTACTATATCATAATTCAAACCTATCGCTCAGTCTAAACTGTATGAACATTGAAATTTATCCCTAAACCTCTACTGTATTATAATTAAAGCCTATCGCTCCGCCGTTACTGAATAAAGATTAAAATCTATTCCGTAACCTCTACTATATCATAATTCAAACCTATCGCTCAGTCTAAACTGTATGAACATTGAAATTTATCCCTAAACCTCTACTGTATTATAATTAAAGCCTATCGCTCCGCCGTTACTGTATAAAGATTAAAATCTATTCCGTAACCTCTACTATATCATAATTCAAACCTATCGCTCAGTCTAAACTGTATGAACATTGAAATTTATCCCTAAACCTCTACTGTATTATAATTCAAGCATATCCCTCAATCGTTACTGTAAAACGTCTAAAATTTACCACTAAATGGCTATTGTAAAACAATTCAAATCTTAGCCGCTTTTTTGAAACGATTTAACCTATAATTAAAATACATCGCTCAATCACTACCGTAAAACGATTAAACCTACCGGTCAGCCTGCTGTTAAATACTTAAACCTACCGCCAACTGTTTACTATCATACAGATTAATTTTACTGCTCGATAGCCAAAGTAAAATATTTTAACTCAATCGATCAATTTATTCATATAATTAAAATATACAGCTGGATTGCTGTAAACCAATTAGTACCGACTGTTATCTGCACCGCTTTTAAAACGTATGGAACCCCTACATTGAGAAAGTCGTAAGCTTCGACCATCTGCTTCATTTTGACATAGCTTGTTCAGTTAATCATGGAATACATAGGTTAAAGTACCAAATCTATTTTTTGTATTATCAACGCTAATCAAAGAGAATAAATGAAGTTAACTTTTATCATACATAAAAATGCAATTGGATTAATCCCACGGGACCAGTTATAAATGTGACAGTAGTATGATCTTTCTCACCTAGCTAGCGAGTGCCCACGCCCACCCTGTAATTTTGTAACTGATATGAAAAGTGATATACGGTAATCATCCTGAGTAAACGAAGTTCACATGTACTCTAGTATAAAAAGGACATGGAAATGCATGAACAGTTGAAGGAAAATTGATCAATTAAATTCTCATATGTCAAAGAATTTGATATCGATATAAAATTCCTGATATATTTCACATACAATTTCTTTATGATGCAGTAGAATTCATTGTTTGATCCTACTGTATCCGACTCTAAATTTGTACCAAAAGGTGCTATTGACGTATGTGTCGATTTACCGAAATCTGTATATAATATATCAATTTACAAAATTCCGAATGATGCCCGCTGTTAAGTGTTCACTTATATAAGGTATTGTTCGATGTCTACTTACGGTTCCTCCTGTACAACGATTCCCGTTAACTTCTTGTCACCACCGCCAGACTGAGAACCGTTGGTGCCCTTAACAGCTAAACTGTAATTATAAAGCCTGCGATTGTACATTATTTGTCAGTGTTGCGCCAAACCGAGTCACACACTTACACATCACACATACTTCAAATGGGATTTTATCAAAATAGGTTTCCAGTCTTTGTTGTAAAATACTTACAGTGTATCCATGTTTTAAATAGAAATCGCACGAAACCAAAAACTGTAATCTAACCCCATCTGTTGGTCAAAAGTAACATTGTGTTCCCAAACGGAGTACAATTTGGTATCAACTAGCACAAATGCAGCATTGAAATATATCATTGTTATACGGTTGATAAAACGCCCATTTGTAGATGCATACATGCGCAATGATGTGACTGTGATGTATCAATTATACAGAATAATAAATGAATAAATAATTGTCTGGTACAATCGATATACTACCAGGAATTGAACAGATATTGTAGATACCTAAGCAGTACTAATTTTATCCAATAATATAATTGTCGTAGCCGACCTTTCATCGCGGAAAATATGACAAACATACCGTACACCATTATGTATACTACACGTGTTTCGTATTACTATGAGAGCTCAAATGATGGTCAATAACAAAATATGTTTATAAATTAGCCAGCAAAATATTCTTTTTCCAACTTTTAGAATGTCAACAAGGCATTAAATTTCATAATATTCCGACTGTCAATATTCGGAATCCAACGACGTTCTAATGAATTTGTATTAATAGAAACGTGTACACGTCAAAGATATTATCACATAACTAACAGTCTCCTATATCAGAGGTTGTTCTCCGTCATTCCTCTTCTAATACAGTCAGGTACTATATCCTCCTACTACCAGGGTTAGAATTACCATGCCAATCAACTACCTATCGGTAAAAAGATACTCTTGTACAATAGGCGGGGTTCTCTAGCACATCATCAAGGGTATGTTTATATAGGACATTGTATATCTCGGATTTGTGACAAAATAACAGTGTGAACACACGAGTAAAGCACGTCCATAAAGCGACAAAAGAAACATTTCACTTTCCGTGCATTAGATGTAAATATTCAATGACGAGAATATGACGATATCAGAGAGGAACGAAATTATTAATGGTTTATATCGTTTGTGGTCTTACATTGAGTTATTACATTAATGATATACGGTGTATTTGATGTAATCATACTTGAATCGGCTCACCAGAGCTTTATAGTAGAAACCACTTGCACAGATGTTGCTTCAGCAGTAGCTGAATCACTTCTGATTAGTCGATATAAAATCGATATCACACATAATTCTTTCATCGGTGAAGATATTAAACTTTGTATGGTATTTATACATGTATTCTAGTACCAAGTTGCGGTTTTACATGAAATACATTTCAACCAAGGTTGTAAACTCGACAAATCATCTGCTTACATTACTGTGGTAATTGGCTTTATAGCTGATGTTAACATTATCAATGTTATTAATTCTTTAGTTCTATTTAAGGATTAATTTTCTAGTTTGTTTAGGTTATCGAGGATAACTACAATTTCACGTGGGTTAATTAACAGTTATATAAGAATTTACCCGAGTTAAATTGTAATTATCCCCGGTAACCTGAAAAAGATGGAAAGTTGATCCTTTTAAAAACAATATTATCGATTCAAAAGTTTACAAATTAAAAAGTAACGGAAATATTAAGTTTGCCGGCCTAAAAACTACCATTACTGAACAGTTGAACAGCCTATTGTTTCAGCCAGCAACGAAGCAAAAAATGTTTAGTATTTAACATATAAAGCAAAATGTCAACGTGTGTTCTACTGAGGTACCGCAAGACTGGTATATGGACCATATTTCAAACGGACTTTATTCCGCGGAGGCATTTTAAAACATTCTACCCTAGATTGTGATACGATGATGTTACGTGGGAGTCCTTCATTCATAACGTCATATCACTACGCAGGCGAGAGAGACCATCATTATCCCAGCATAAAGATAATGAGAATTACAAAGGTTACAGAGTCAATTACAACGGTAACTGTAAATATTTTTCTGTCACTGCACTACAGCTACTAAATACCAAAGCCAGCTCTAGACCCTGTAGTATGAGGATATACCACTGACCTCTGCAGAGAACACAGTCATGGCAGCTATGACGTCAGTATATTTGTTTTTTTTCTTAACTTAACAACTGGGAGTGTTCCACATAAAAAGTGTTATATATTTCGTAACTAAATATTGTACACTAGGCATGAAAAATATAGAGACAACACAAACATTTCCACAAAATATATGATTGATGTGACAAAAATTACATTCTACATAAAAATTGGAACATATGTCTTCACTGTTGACAGTCTTGTGTGGAATTGTACTTTGTATTGTCTCCATATTCCAGTCGTAAACCGCATAAGTTTTGACAACGAAAGATACCATGAAAATATAACAATTTTGCCTAAACGAGATAAATGATAAATGGGGAATGAATGCAATCCACAGTGTATTTAGCTGTTTCTTCTCTAGGAGGAAAAACTGAGGAGAAAGATAACAAAGGCACGAGCTACACAAAGATCACGTGGTACACGTGGTGTTGGTTTATCTAAGTGTGTGTAACATTTGTTCTAAAATCATCATGTTGTACATGTATATCAATAAAACGTTTCTGTAATAGATGACAATAAATTAATGTTTTATTTTATTTTTCATTATCAATCTATTTATTTATCAATCTATTTATTTTCATTTACGACTAATTCCCTCTTATCCGGACATTGTCGGAACAAAGAAAACGAATATGTTATAACACAATCGATAGTCATCATCATCATCATCCCGTTCGAGATCAAAGGTATTTATAACCTACAGCAGATGTCTTCTTGATGCCAATGTGCTAAACGATAATGTAGTATTTTACCATCTAAAAGTTTGTATTTTTGTTAGGGAATTATTATCCGTATTTTCTATAATTACAAAACTTAGATACTAAAGGAGTTCTGTGAGCCTATTTGATACAATGATTTCCTATCTTCTCAATATACCTCTCATTACGACGTGTACTGCGCGGTCCTTATATTTTTAAAAATAAGGTTTTACAAAGTTATGGAATTAATCCATATTATTTCTCTAAAGCGCGCTGCTCCACAATATGCAATATAAATTCCATGGAAATGCAAAGGAAAACCGAGGACAGATTGAAATGAAAAGGAATGAAGACATCTTTGACCTCAGTTCCTCTTGTCAACAATTATCACTACAGACTATCATGTTAGATTAGCATTTCAAAGTTAGATTAAAATGAGGTTGAAAAATTCCTAGCATAGAATGTTCCTCGATTTTTCTGTTCAAATAATGAATATACGAATTAATTTTGTTACTTCGTAGCATAAAGAACATCTTGCACGGTCATTTCTGATATAAAATCTATAATAAGTGTAGGAGCTAAATATAAACATAATGTTATAAGAAATCATTTGAAGATAAAAACAAATTTGACCCCTGTGACATTGAAGATACACCAAGGTAAACTCTTTTCGAAAACTTATCAGCCAAATATCCAGATTCCAGGACTAATGTTTCTTTAGAAGAAATTGTCTGCAGGTTCTAACAAATTTGGATCTTGTGACCTTGGTATCAAGTTTCTATGACTTATGTTTCTTTAGAAGAAATTGTCTCATGGTTTTAACAAATTTGGATCTTGTGACCTTGGTATCAAGATTCTAGGACTAATGTTTCTTTAGAAGAAATTGTCTCATGGTTTTAACAAATTTGGATCTTATGACCTTGGTCAAGATTATTCATTTGTTGAAATTTATCCAATAAACGTATCGCCAAATATAATTCTATTAGGAATTTTGATTACTTAGAAAAAGGCCAGACGGAGAACGACAAAACAACGAGCGGCAAGAAATGACTGCTGTTTGGAAGCATCTTGTTTGAACTAAATTATACTTTATATTACAATAGAAATACCAATGCTCCTACACTCACACAGCGTTTATCAAAGTACAAATGACCCCTCCATATTCAAATGAACCACTTTAAAAGACAGTTCATATGGCTGCTGTTCATTGCTTATCTTGCCTTGTTCTACATAGACTGTGTTACCCTAGAGATAGTACAAGTTATCGGGCCAGTCAATTCTCAAGAGAACTCGCTCAATGTACAGACTTTCCACGGATTCACAGCGCATTGTCACCTTTTATGTGAAGTCAATATGAAATGTCAGGGGTCAGATACAATTAGTTTCATTAACGTACGACCTATTGCGAAAGCGACGCCCTGGTATCAGACAGGGATGAGATTTCTGTATACGTTTTCAGTTCACGGGAAATTCGCTATTCCAGTGATTTTAGAATGAAACATGTGCTACGACTATGCTAGGCACGTGACACCAATTGCAAAGACATTGTAACACGTTTAACCTCTGCTTGGCGTTACCAGGGTAACCATGTATAAAACATAACTGCGCCGTTATTTGTAACGTTACAACTCCAATCGTGTATTTTGACTTAGACGCATAATAAATCGAAGCTTGCTGATGACGAATCGAAACAAGGTGTTGGTTCAAAGGCAATGAAAGTCGATTGATAATATATAATTGAATAGATGTGCGTACTGATACGGTGTTAATTAACGTACAATCCGCCTCAATGCCACCTAAATCTGCTTTTACGACCAAATTGCGATCATTGTCCTTACTGCTTTATACAGAGCTGTGTATTACGACAATATAATGAAAAGATTAAGCAATCTGAAAAAATACAGACCAAGTTATTTTAGATCTCTAACGTTACAAAAACTATAACGGTGGTTTCTTTTTTATTTTCAGAACATTTTTTGTTTACTTTAAATCAATCATGTGGACGATTTTACAGCTTCATATCGAATGAAAGGAACCATTATGCACCCATGATCCAGAATACAACGGTAGTACATCTTGTAAGCTCTGTGCCAGGTAGAATATCTGACTTATAACGGGAATTTTTTGGGTTTTAAACATTCATTATCTGTAGATATTTTTGTGGATTTCCCTTACCTGAACTGATAAACCTTCTGTTTTTTTTAATCAAAATAGACTGATAAAGTTTTTGTATGTATTTTTCTTGATAAGCTGGCGAACGTAATGGACGTTGTTTGATTTGCCTGGAATGGCCTGATGAATATTGATTAATTTGCCCTAAATAGACTAATGAAACATGTTGGTGAGGATTCCGCTGATAAAAAGGACTGATCGACAGCATGCTCAGTTTACACTTAAATACTTACATTTATGAACTGTCAACGACTGATCGAAGTTATGTTCATTTTAAACTAAAAGACTTTCATGTATGAACTTGTTGTCATTTTACAATAAAAAAAAAAGACCAATGGGCCTTATGATCGTTTTACACCAAAATCCATATGATCGTTCCTGAAAAGCTACTTTTGCAAATAGGTTCGTAGATTCCCAGCTGTTTTACGTTTAAAACATACCAAGGTGAATGTTTGCACTATGGGAGGTTCTCTGTGTGATAAGAGTGAACTGACCAGTAAAACTTTGTCCTATATGCACTGATAATGTTTTGCTGGTTTGATAATTTTAGGAATAAGACACAAGAATATGGCTATTCAGGCTTAAAATAAATTTCCTGATCATTAAATGTAAATAAGTATGAGAGTATTATTTGAAATTGGCTGAAATGCTTGTTTTAGACTAATTACACAGAAAATTCCTTTTACTTTAGACTAAATAGATCCGCATTTCTATGGTTGGTTTCAGACTAAGTCAATCAAATCTTCAGACTAACAACACCACAGTATTTGGTTCGCTCGTTTCTCAATAAGAAGAATTGATAATTAAAATATGTTGGAATGTCAGTTGAACTTAAGAGATTGGAAAATACTTTATTTCAAACTAAATTCAAATATTAATGATATGCCTGCTCTAGACTAAATGTTTGTTTGAATATGATGTTTGTTTGACTAAACTGACTTTAAATGTTTATTTGATTTAGAATAAAAAGCTGGACTTATTTTAACCTTAAATACGACAGATCAGTTCAGTGAGGGTGTGTGGTGGATGTACAACAGGTATGGAGAGTGTGGACATAATTAGCATGTTCCTGATTAAAAGCACACTTCAGTGTACCATCTGTACGTACTAAAGCGCTGGTGAAACAAAAGATGTCTAAGGTACTAAGTGTTGAGGACACAGGAACCATCATCAGATTTCAATGTACAGAACTACTTACACGATTTCTTTAAGAAAAATATCATTCGTCATATTTCACTTTTTATGTCTATGTAATACATCAGTATGTCAAATTTATGCCTTTCTCATTTGACTTTTTAAGAATAGGACAGAAAATATTTAGTCTGGAACTCTTAAAAAGATATTTTGTTTTCAACCAGTGTTTGCAAACGGAAAATATTGAAGAATTCAATACTGTTAAAAAAGAACATTTTCCAATAACACTAATGTAAGTTGTTCAATTTAAGATAATTTCTTGTCAATTTTAATATATAAGGCCAGAAAAATTAAGAACCATTCCAGACTAAATATTGGGACTAAAGGCGAATAGAAGGAACGCTAAATGTGTCATGCATTCACCATGAACAAGTACAACAACAGCACCAACAAAAACAGCACGCTCTGCTTCCTCGGTCCCCGGCTGGCGCTGGCGATGATGGTGGCGAATCAGCGGATTGAGCATGCGCACCGGCCCTGCTATTGCGCATCCTCACGTCGTTTTCGTTTGACGTAGAAGACTGCCTTCGCATTACCGAAGTCATCTGAAAAAAATATAAAAAACATCAAATAAAAATATTCTACATTTCACGACTGATTAAAACTAAAATCGTAGTGAAAATGTAAAAATGTGATCAAAATTATATTTCTAAAAATGCCAAAACTTAATACTCTTCCCTTTTAGAAATAATTTCTCTAATTCCTTCATAAAGATCATTAACCTAGACTGGTTTTAGACTGGAATATATAGCTACGACATAGGTATGCTCCAATTGAAATGAGTGTTAGTTTTTTTAATACAAAGGATTATCTTGAAATACGAACTATTAATACATGATAATACAATTTATGTTTATCTTGACAATTCTGTGTTATATATATATACTTCTATCATAGCTCGTAGTATAATTGGTAAAATACAAAATGTTGGTTGTTCCATCGCCTTGGATTTTAAAATAAGTTCGTCAAATTAGGAGTATATAGTTAATATACTTGAATTATTAAGGGCTATCAAGTGAGACAATGTACAGCGGTGTTTAAAATGCCAAAACTGATAGTCCTTAATACCATTCCTCTTATAAAAAGGCACTGATTATTGTACTATCCATGTTGACGAAACCCACACCCATTAGTCAGTGTAATCACAATCTCTGTTATTATGTCCTCGCCCTCCATTTAATTTCCTCAAAATGTAATCACGTGATCGACATTGACAGGGTCCCTTTATATAATTGTCGTGACGTAGCGTGCTGTACGCTTTGTTTTCATTTCATCAAATGTTATAGTACAGAGTACTGAAATTGATTCGGTAGCAGGCTCACCTACTCATCATACCCTAAACATTGCATGTATGTTGTTAGATAGAATGTGAAAAGATAGTAGTATAATAGCACGAAATAAGATTTCTTTCTGACAGAGTGAAATAATTATAAGTTCATCGAAACGCCATGTTGCTGCCATCCATTGAGACAACGCACGGAAAAAAATCATAAAGAATGTTGAATTTCCATGATGAAAGTTTATGTTCAAATTTAATTCGAATATCTATTGCATAATTCTAATAACATGAACATACATCACAATTTATCAAAATAAGCAGAGTACCGAGTTTAGATTAAAATGGATGTAAGCCCACTCATCTCGGTTCTAAAGACTGTTTTATAAATAGAATAGTTCTTCGCATAATTTATAAGTTGACAACATGGTCACGTGATTCAGATTTATTTTATGGAAAAAAGATCTTTTATCTCCTGATATATATTAAGATTAATTTTATCGAGATATTTTTCGAACATTTTCATATTTGTAGAAAAAAGTGCATTTCGTTTTAAAAACAGTAAACATTTTACGGGTTTTTTTGTTGTTGTTGTTTTGGTATGTTACTTACAATACCATACGTACTGTATGTATAACAAAGAGTATAAAATGGATATATCATATAGCATGAAATTAAGTTATCATATTAAAAATGTCAAATCCTTAGCTATTCCTATTTTTAGACATAGCAAGAATTTATGCGAATAGAAATTCTTGTTATATAATATAAACCTCATTGGTACATCCGTTAAGTAAGTACAAATATTACCACCATTAAAGTTTATCAGCACACTCACCATTTCACCCAGTCTACTGATACTTGTGACTTGCTCACCCTTTCACCCAGTCTACTGATACTTGTGACTCGCTCACCATTTCATCCAGTCTGCTGATACTTGTGACTCGCTCAACCTTTCACCCAGTCTACTGATACTTGTGACTCGCTCACCTAAAATCACTTTTCCCCTACCACACAAGGCTGTAAAAGTTGTTAATTTGTACATTAATATGAATTAAAAGTTATCAACGGTACAAACCATTATTTTGACATTACTAAAAGCATGAGATTGACAAAACGTGTAAGATTTGAGTTTAACATACAAGCTGAGCAAATGATATTGACAGTCCCTACCAACAAGTCTCCCTTCCCAGGATCGCACAAACACGGCTATTTTCTCACATATACATATTGGATATACGGGGATAAAAAGCACTAGTAATGTTTCTAGTCCATACACATACATGACTGTCGCTTTTTTTATTAATGTAAACATGATTGGTCCAATGAAAACATCAGGTCACACGATACAGCGCAGGTAAACTACTGACTATCTGTTTAACACGACATCAATTTGATCCAAATTCAAATATAATATATATATAAGTCTTATCGCATTTAAATATCAGACAATTAAGAGTCAAAAGTGTGCATTAATAAATTTAAAAGAGGACAGGTTCTGAGAAATATTTGTAGCTGTTGTCAGCTGTAGTCTGTTGATTTCTCGCGAAACCGACGATAATTTCAGTTCCGACGTGTATCCACCAAAAACCGCGCATGGAACCGTGTAGTATGGTAAAAGTTAATTTAAGCGTCACAGAAGTGTCTCAATCATTATGTTTGCTTTATACAATATTTTTCGGGTAATATTAAATATCCTTAAGTTCGGGATAATATTAGACAACTTTTTTTTGACAGAAACGAAGACTTAACTTTTTAACGCAATCAGGAAAATGGCCATACGTCAGTCTTCTATGTCTGTAGAGAAATTGGAAAAGATTTGTGATTTATCAATAATTATTTGGGGACTGGGGGCTGTTAATGTCGAATTACGTCACGGCATGTTCTCAATTATCGACCCGCTTTACAGTTGAGGTCTTTATATTTTATCAAAAATGTTGTAGGTGACAGAACATACCTCTTGTATGTTTATAGCACACTGCTTGACGTCAGTCGGAATGCGAGGGATGCGTAATGTAAATCGTGTAAACAGTGAAAATAACGTCATCACCCAAGCATCGAGTTTAAAGTTTTTGTAAGTAAAAAACAAATCCAAACCCACTGCAATGTTTTAACGTGTCCCTATATCGAACATACTTTTAACTGTTAAACTATTTACTTCAATCATATAAACATACATCGTTTCACCATATATCAGGCTTGTCGACACTGGACATGCAACTCGAGAAGCGAAATCAATTATGACGCATCTCATGCCACTCGCATGGTCTGGCAATAATTGCCAAAGGAGAAACGTCTTCATTCCTTTCTGGAATCGTTAATTCGTTGAAATGATGTTTCTTGAAAAATAAAAATGGTATGAGATCGACAAGTAAAATAATTCAACACGTTTACCACTCTTCAGACTTTGCCTGCCAACCTCTTCATCGGCAAAGCTGGTTTCTTTACAAGCAATCACTATGTGTAAATGGAGAATGGACTACAGTCGATCATACAACCACTTAGGTTTGGTTTTAACTGGGTTTACATTATCTACTGTCTTATCAATATATATATATATATATTGTCTAGTGTCTTATCAATATATTTTATATGTCTAATGTCTTAACACTTGATTTTACATTGTCTAGTGTTTATCAATAGATATATATTGTCCAGCGTCTTAACAATTTATTTCATATTGTCTTCCGTCTTATTGATATGTTATATATTGTCTATCGTCTTATCAATATATTTTATATTTTCAAGCGTCTTAACAATTGATATGACTATTTAAGAACGAGTTCCATATGTATGCAAGGTGAATGCACGAAGTGAGTGCGTTGCTCCGACATCCAACTGGTTACAGTATATACTACCATAAAACTGAGCAGGTACAGACAACAAGTTTTAACGACTGGTAAGTCTCGGCTAGGGGACAGAATACAAAGCCTTCTTCAAACGGGCGGGCGCTCAGCAAAAGACCTAAAGTGAGACAGTGTCAATATGTGTTCAATAAGAAGATACATGCTTATATATTGCAATTCTTCCGTAAATCAACGTAAACCGAAATACATGTTGCTTTTATTGCATATCTCATGGCGCCTCAATCTCTACCAATCAGAAACACGGAGTAATACATTTCTACCAATCAGAAACACGCAGTCATACATCTCTTCCAATAAGAAATAAGCAATCATACATTTCGAAAAATCAGAAACACGCAGTCATACATCTCTACCAATCAGAAACACGCAGCCATACATCTCTACCATCCAGAAACACGCAGTCATACATTTCTACCAATCAGAAACACGCAGCCATACATTTCTACCAATCAGAAACACGCAGCCATACATTTCTACCAATCAGAAACACGCAGCCATACATTTCTACCAATCAGAAACACGCAGCCATACATTTCTACCAATCAGAAACACGCAGTCATACATTTCTACCAATCAGAAACACGTAGCCAAACATTTCTACCAATCAGAAACACGCAGCCATACATTTCTACCAATCAGAAACACGCAGCCATACATCTCTACCAATCAGAAACACGCAGCCATACATTTCTACCAATCAGAAACACGCAGCCATACATTTCTACCAATCAGAAACACGCAGTCATACATTTCTACCAATCAGAAACACGTAGCCATACATCTCTACCAATCAGAAACACGCAGTAATACATCTACCAATCAGAAACACACAGCAATACATGTCTACCAATCAGAAACACGTAGTCATACATCTCTACCAATCAGAAACACGCAGCCATAAAACGCTCTTACTTCATGCGAAAAGTATTGCAAGATATTCGATGTTATTTTGATCCATGATCAGCTAGTCTATAAAACTAAAGGATTTTCTCAGTATTGATACTGTAGAATGATCGCTGACATCAGTCTCTGGGATAAATCCTTTTGAAGGCATAAAAAACTACCGAAGAATGATTTATCAAGTCAACTACATCTAAATTAAAGGAAAACGTTTGCCTATAACACACATTCCATGACAATATGTCTTATACAGTGAAATCTATATCTTGATTAAATTATAAACTTAATGTCACTCACTAAATCCGTAATTCAATTAATGAAATATAATAAAACATTGCAGCTCATTTATTTAAATTAGCCTTTTTTTCAATTAATTCTGTATTATTTGAATCGTGGATTTTCCATTTTTCTGCTACTTCTATTAAATCTACACACGGCAAAACATCGGAATCAATAATAATATACGTGTATCATAATAAACAAGTCACGAGCTTCAATTAAT